TCCTGATTTTTATTTTTTTTATTATCTGTTTGAGTACGTTAAGAATATTAATACATATAGTTTCATTTTTTAAAAAAATTTCTCGACGCGATCCACATTTTTCAAGTAGGAACTCCACTTGATTGCAACAATACACTTTCTGTTTTGTTGAAGAAATGACAAAGAAGCCACTTTTTTATTAATTGTAAAATATGAATTAAAAAAATATGAAGGGGACACAATCGAGGACATAATTAAATAGGGTATCCTAATGGTACATAGAGGAGAAAATTTAACACGAGATTAGCACATCACAGAAAAGCAGGATAAACAAAAGTGTGGGTAATTGTGCCACACAAATAAAATATTTGACGGTGCCCCACAAAAGAACGCAGGTGAAAGTCATTCAATAATGGGTCCCTCTAAAATTGTGTTGGTACCTGCAAAACGTATAACACACAATAAAGTTCAATTTCATTTTTGAGGGGAACAAATCTTTACCAAAAAGATTAATGTAAGAAGAAAAATTTGAGAGGCACTTTTAGGTTTGTGCCTAAAACACTCCGCGTTTCTCGCAACAAGAGAAGACCTGCGCGCGGTGCAAGGACGACCCTTCAGTATAGAACGGGGGAAAAGAAGAGTGTCTGTGGAGAGAGACGCCCCTTTCTACAGGGCTCTATAGGAACGAACTCGCTTTTCCTTTTTCCTCTTGATACGCTTTTGTTTTGATAAATGTCGAGTAAAGAGAGAGTGTAAGCTTCATTAATTTGTAAGTTTTCTTTTCTAACACACTTATAACATTTTTGCATGTAAACCTACTTTTTATTAAGTCTTAGTTTTGTTTTATCTCAACTCTAATACATTCAGCTAAAGAGCGAGTAACATATGTCAGGGTTTGGCCGCGTGACCCAGTGGTCCAAGCGCTGCGGGTAGCCACGTGAGAGACACCGAAGCGATACCAGACTGATGTCGACGTCGGAAAACTGTTGATTTTCGTGTTGAATCGACCCTGAGACGTTCCTAAAATCGACACATTCCGATATCTCATAGTTTTAATATCACATCTATGTAGAATTCTCACTGGCGGGAGCGTGAGGTGAGCGGTGAGCGTTCCCAACACAAATTGGGACTTTAGCGCGTGAAAACTACAATAACTACACAACTTTTCTTTGCCAACATGACAGACTGTTGAAGGGAAGCGCTCAGCGCACAGAGGGTAAGTACTGGAAGGGGTGGGAGGGAGGGAATTCCGAATAGCCTATACTCTAATTTAAACTCAACACTCATAAATCTTTTAAAACTCAAAGTTAAGGAACCGCAATCATGTGGCCTATATTTTGAAACGCTGTGCTATTGTTAGTCTTTGGACAATTTCTAGTTTTACAAGCCGGCCAGCAAATCTCGCCAAACGATCGTGGCTGCCAGAAAGCTGGTGCATCCTACGCATTTTCCTTTATCACTTGGGTACGAAAACGTGTTTCGTAACTATATACTCAGTCCATACCTAGTTCTTAGGCTGTTCTTGTACGAAAATCGACAACCGAATCTTAACCAGCGGACTTACTGTACACTGTTTGAAGGCACCCCATAGCATACAAGATAAATTTACATTACTCAGCCTTTGCCTCTTCTCTCTATTCCTTCTTAAGGTCCTAGTAGTGGCGAGCCACAGATTGAGAACGGGTAACGGATAGAAGTTTTACTTTGACAGGAATAGGAGGGTCTCTACGTACAAATAACGATGAAGTTCCTTTTGGGGCATAGTTGCACTCAGTCAAAATAAAGGACTAATGTTGCACTTTTTGATTTGAATTTACAACAGTACAAATAATGTACAATATTTAAAGTAACTTAATTATTTCACTTACATTCGAGAAATTTGAGACTAGAAGTCCCATTGGGGTCTGCCAAGACCCAGAAGGCTTTTCTTTTCACTTGTTTCCTCAGGCCATATGACGTTATAAATCAGTTCCACAAAATTCTATTGAATGATTATCGCGGTTCGTATTTTAGGGGGTATTACTAGGTAAGTTTCGAGTAATTATTCCAAAGAGTTTATCTTCATAGAGCTTATCACAAAGAAATCCTAACAGCTAATTACATCACCGAGCTGTATGTTAATAGTACCAGATTTGTCATCATCATTAGCCAAAGGAGAAACATATTTAACTTTAATAAAGTATTTTAAGTGGCTTGGTAAGGCTTTCATTCGTTTTGTAAGAGTGCAAGTGTCGTTGGGATAAAAATTGGCTTGACACCCTTTTCGAACGAACCCGTCAGGCTTGTTTTTACCCGACGAAGGTGCTGGGTGTAACAGAACGCACCGGCCCGGTTGGATTCGCGGAGCACTGGCCTTACTAGAACATAAAATATCTGGGAAACGACACTTTATAATAGCATGCCGTTGCGATTAAAGAATTTCTTAGGTAGAATGTATCGTAGTTTTGATACGTTTACCTTAAGTACCAAGCCACTTTTAAGACAGCCCTTACCAACACAATGACAACCAAATTACACAACAGAGCCGTCAAGTGACCCATGTTTTTGAAATTTTGTTTCTTATTGAAACGGCGGACTCATGTTGACAAAACAAGTCAAAAGAGAGTCAGAAAAGTGGGTAAACTTTTCTTTTCTCATTCACTCTTGTCCTTAGGAAGGAAACCCATATCGGGATGGCGACAATCAGAAAACATCAAATAAATCACAGCTAAACACTCAAAGCAAAGAGATTAACATATTCTTTTTTTTTCTCTCCTTCGATTGGTTTTTCGACTGGGCGATAGAAAAACCTTTTGGCGAAAACACAATAATAATTTGCAACAACGAACAACACGATAAAACCTAACTGGACAGAGTCGCACTTGTTTTGAGTAAGGGGCGCGACTCCGCGCGCAAGGCATAGTCATACGCACAACCAAACAAAAACCCTCTCGGTGAGGGCACAGACGGGGACAAAAACAACGGCGCCGTGGCCGAGGCCGCGGCGCCGGCCGACGCAGCGGCGCTGCGCTCAGGTGCTGATGGTGCTGATGGCGCCGTCGTAGCGCATCTCGGCGAGCTCCTGGGCGCCGGGGATGGCGCCCCCGGGCCCGCCTCCCGGCGCCGCACCCGGCCCGGACAGCTGCTCCGCGTCGCGCGTCTGAGTGGCGGCGGCGGCCTCATCCCAGCGGCCGTACAGGCGCGCATCACCCGCTCCTACAAGCAAGGTCATCACCAAGTATAAAAACAACCACAGTACGAAAAACAAGGGAGAAAAAAAATCTCAGAACACAAAATTAATATTTGTTTGCTGAGGAATCAAGTCGTTCTTTAAATGAAATGATCGCCATTCTCGCCCTTCTTTATGGTTGAGATTTGCCATTACGAAATTGCCGAGTTCCGCCAGTCAGTGCTAGGTCTCATGGCGCCTAACAGGTAGGCAGCATCTTGCCTTTAGTGCATGCGTGTATTGCGGGCTGGCCTACCCCGCGTCTCGCAGGCGCCGAGCTCTTGGACGATGGAGATTTAGTAAATAACGAGTAAAACCTACAACTAAAATGGCAGATATTCTACCACATTTTTTCAAAAATTCTACTTTATTTGATTTTAAAAACATGAAAAATTTTGTTTAAATAATGAACGTGAAACTGAAACAATAGACTGTCAATCATGAAAGCCTAGCCCATTACTTTCAAATCTTCGCGGTAAAAAATAAATACAAAATCAAAATAATACTGCCCCGTGCCCCGCGAAGAAGCACTTTGCCCCTTTTGAAAACTTGACTACAGTCACCCACCACTGTTGTTCTGGGCGGCGTCGCTCGTGTCGATGCCCCACACCACGATCTCGCCGTTGGACAACAGGCCCGGGTTGCACGCGTCGCCGTAGTAGTTGCCGAGCAGCGAGGCCGACGAGGACGAGGACTTGCCCCAGCAGCCGGCGTCGTCCTCCTCCATCAGGTACTCCTCCTCCTCGTCGAGGTCCTCCCCCTCGGCGCCGCCGCACCAGTCGCCCGCCTCCTTGTTGGACTCGCGGGGCACGATGAGCCAGGCGCAGACCATCAGGAACCAGTTCTAAAGAAAGATTGATAATTATTTTACGCGTAGGTTAACGTCGGCTAGACATCCTGCTGTTAGAAGAAGGAGGAAGCCCTGTAAAAATTCCGGAAAATTTCCGGAAATTTTCTAAAAAAGCAGAAAATTTCCGGGAAAAACGGAAAATTTCCTACATTTTGGA